GTTCACTATCTCTATAATTTCCTTTTCAATTATTGGCTTCAGAAACATAGAACACATATTCCTTTCAATTGTATTGTTATTTATATTGACGTCTGTACAAATGCTACTTGCTAAACCAGGACCAACATTACCACTCTGTGATACATTTCTTCTGCCTCCATATCCTCAGTCGCTTCTGATTTATTAGCTCTTTTCCCTCTTTGAGGCATTTTAGTAGTTGTAAAGTATGCTCAAATACTTGAAGTGTAGAACAGACAAGAGGAGCAGTAAAGACGTCTGCTCTCGCTTGCAACCCGCAAGCGTAATCAGATCAGAGAACGCTATCTACAATATGGTTTGTGTAAATATGGTTTCTGCCCATAGTGAACCATGTAAAGCTCATCAAAATATGACACATCCTTAAACCTTTCTTTACATAGTGTGCAACTAGGCTCTTCTTTTTATAGTTAATCATTGTAATTGTTGTATCTTTGAGGCTTTATTTTTTTGACAACTTTCATAATTTTAAGGTTTTCACAGTAAAAGTAAAAATGTATTTAACCTTATTCTTCACAGAACAATCTAAACAAGAACCTTCATCAGTCAAATTAAATAAAATGTAAAAAGTACAAAATACAAGAGTACCCTTATCTAAAAATGGTCTTGGTGTTAATGAATAAATAGATTACCAGTCAGTTATTGATGTGTTATATTGCAGTGCAGCCCTTTCTTCAATGTCTGTGCACCCTCTATTCAAAAAAGGGTTCCAAATTTAAAGAATATTGAAGGGTTGTCCTTGAGCCAGTTTGTCTGAGCTTCCAGAGCAGTTAATTCCAGTTGGATCTGGTTTGACTTTTTCTGCAACACAATGTGACGTCAAGGCGTAATCTTGATAAAGCACGTAAATGTAAATGCAAAGGAATGTGCATTAGCATAAGGTACTAGGGGTATGTAGTACACACACATATACATACGTACGTGTGTGTGTGTGTGTGTGTGTGTGTGTGTGTGTGTGTGTGTGTGTATAGACAGTTTAGATGCAGTTTCCCACATAGGTATATACTGTGAGGTGTGTTCAAAAATCACCCTAACAATACAAAGGTATATTTACAAGGTATTGCACTGAGGGTTGTCATTCTGTTATACAGTCATGGTTTAACTGTTCATCACAGCGATGGCCCGGGGGAAACTGTCCTTGTGTCTGGCTGTCTTGATGTACAGTGACCTGTAGCGGCATCCAGAAGGGATGAGTTCAAACCCTTTTCTGTCCATGGTGTGAGGGGGTCTGCAGAAATCTTATCTGCCCTCCTTTTGACTTGTGAGGTGTACAGGTCCTCCATGGAGGGCAGGGTGCATGTGATTTTCCCCAGCCTCACCTGCTGCTTCCTGTCTGTCAGAAAGCTAGTAATCCACTGACAGGTGGAGCAGGCACAGTGAAGTGGGTCAGTTTGCAGTGGAGGATGTCCAAGATGACGTCATTGAACGCCAAGCTGAAATCCACAAAGAGGATCTGTTCGGTCCCTGGGGAGTCGAGGTGTTGCAGGATGTAATGCAGTGCCATGTTGGCTGCATCATCCACTGACCTGTTTACCCGGTAGGCAAACTGCAGGGGGTCCAGCAGGGAGGTCTATGATTTCCTTCAGGTGGGCCAACACCAGTCTCTCAAAGGACTTCATAACTACAAATGTCAGGGTGAGAGGTGTGTAGTCATTCAGTCTGCTGATGGAGGGTTTCTTGGGAACCAGGATGATGGAGCATGTGAAGCAGGAGGGGACTTCACACAGCTCCAGTGATCTGTTGAAGATTTGCATGAAGATGGGGGCCAGTTGATCAGCACAAGCTTTCAGGCAAGAGGGGGTCACGCCATCTGGGCCTGGTGCCTTTCTGATCATTTAAAAAAAAAAACAAAGAGGCCATGCACATCCTTTTCACAGATCTTCAGCTGTGGTGGGCTTTGGGGGAAGGGAGATGATCATGGGGGGAGCGGCTGCTTGGTTTGAGGTAAGGTGGGTGAGGGGTGTGGAGTTCTGCTTCTCAAACTAACAGCAAAATACATTCAGGTCATCTGCCGGTTGATGGTCTTTCACAGCTGTGGGGATGGTTTCCTGTAGCCAGTGATGTTTTTCAGGCTTCTCCACATAGATGAGGGGTCACTGGCTGAAGGCTCCTCTTTGCTACTCTGATCTCCCTTGCCAGCATGCTCTTGGCCTGCCTGTACAGGAACCTGTCGCCTCTTCTGTAGGCCCCCTCTTTGGCACAATGAAGCTGCTTGAGTTTTACTGTGAACCAGGGCTTGTTGTTGTTGTATGTGCAGAAGGTCTTGGTGGGCACACATGTCCTAACAAAAGCTGATGTATGATGTCATGAGTGTCAGTGAGTTCATCCAGGTCTGTAGTTGCAGTCTCAAATACACTCCAGTCTATGCAGTCAAAGCAGGCCTGTAGCTCTGACTTAGCCTGCTCAGTCCATCTCTTCACCGTTTTGATCAGTCTTCATCTCTTTTAAATTTCTGCATATAGGTTGGGATGAGATGGACCATACAGTGATCGGAGAAACTAAGGGCTGCACAGGAGACAGAGCGATAGGTGCCTTTTATTACTATGTACAGTGCCTTGCGAAAGTATTCGGCCCCCTTGAACTTTGCGACCTTTTGCCACATTTCAGGCTTCAAACATAAAGATATAAAACTGTAATTATTTGTGAAGAATCAACAACAAGTGGGACACAATCATGAAGTGGAACGAAATTTATTGGATATTTCAAACTTTTTTAACAAATAAAAAACTGAATAATTGGGCGTGCAAAATTATTCAGCCCCCTTAAGTTAATACTTTGTTTAAACATCCCAAGGAGCACTGTGCAAGCGATAATATTGAAATGGAAGGAGTATCAGACCACTGCAAATCTACCAAGACCTGGCCGTCCCTCTAAACTTTCAGCTCATACAAGGAGAAGACTGATCAGAGATGCAGCCAAGAGGCCCATGATCACTCTGGATGAACTGCAGAGATCTACAGCTGAGGTGGGAGACTCTGTCCATAGGACAACAATCAGTCGTATACTGCACAAATCTGGCCTTTATGGAAGAGTGGCAAGAAGAAAGCCATTTCTTAAAGATATCCATAAAAAGTGTCGTTTAAAGTTTGCCACAAGCCACCTGGGAGACACACCAAACATGTGGAAGAAGGTGCTCTGGTCAGATGAAACCAAAATCGAACTTTTTGGCAACAATGCAAAACGTTATGTTTGGCGTAAAAGCAACACAGCTCATCACCTTGAACACACCATCCCCACTGTCAAACATGGTGGTGGCAGCATCGTGGTTTGGGCCTGCTTTTCTTCAGCAGGGGCAGGGAAGATGGTTAAAATTGATGGGAAGATGGATGGAGCCAAATACAGGACCATTCTGGAAGGAAACCTGATGGAGTCTGCAAAAGACCTGAGACTGGGACGGAGATTTGTCTTCCAACAAGACAATGATCCAAAACATAAAGCAAAATCTACAATGGAATGGTTCACAAATAAACATATCCAGGTGTTAGAATGGCCAAGTCAAAGTCCAGACCTGAATCCAATTGAGAATCTGTGGAAAGAACTGAAAACTGCTGTTCACAAATGCTCTCCATCCAACCTCACTGAGCTTGAGCTGTTTTGCAAGGAGGAATGGGCAAAAATTTCCGTCTCTCGATGTGCAAAACTGATAGAGACATACCCCAAGCGACTTACAGCTGTAATCGGAGCAAAAGGTGGCGCTACAAAGTATTAACTTAAGGGGGCTGAATAATTTTGCACGGCCAATTTTTCAGTTTTTTATTTGTTAAAAAAGTTTGACATATCCAATAAATTTCGTTCCACTTCATGATTGTGTCCCACTTGTTGTTGATTCTTCACAAAAAATTACAGTTTTATATCTTTATGTTTGAAGCCTGAAATGTGGCAAAAGGTCGCAAAGTTCAAGGGGGCCGAATACTTTCGCAAGGCACTGTAGCTGTGGTCCAATGTGTTTTTGTCCCTGTTTGGACAACTGACTTGCTGTCTTTTTTTTTGGCAGTTAATGGGTGAGATTTGCACTGTTAAAATCCCCTAGAACAATGAGTGGGGAGTCAGGATCTTTCAGTTCCGTGCTGGTTTTCTGGTCAGCCAGGTGCTGCAGTGTGGTAGTATGGGTCTGCGGTCTTCTATACATTTTGACCAGAGTGAATGACAAAATTCTCTGGGAAAATAAAGTTGTTTGGAGTTGATGAAAATAGTGTTGCAAGTTCTCTGTAACGCCATGAAATCTTTACACCAGATTCCCCCTCCTCCTGTTTTCCCAGATAACCTCGTTACACAATCCACTTTGTATACCTGGAACCCCTGTAGTTGTCAGAGCAATGGATTATTTTATGTGAACGTTGTATTTCTGCTGTTAACCACAAGATTGTCTCAACCAAAGATGAAACAGTTGCTGCTGTGAACACTTTCTGGAGATGTATAGCCCTGTCTGTATGAAAGTATGAATGAAAAACCACTGTGCTGTGTTTTGGCATCCAGTAAGCTTCAATAAGCTTATTGGATGCTTAATAAACTTAATCTCTACTGCCGATCTTCTGACCAAGGGACTTACTTTCACATCTTGGAGGCCTTCGGCACAGAGTGACTGAATTGGACTCTTGTTGTAGCATGACATGACATGTGGTGGATTGAACTAGATAAAATAAAATGAAGTTGGGTATTTAGCTTTTTTTTTATTGTTTTGTTTTTATATTGCCAAAAGATCAATAAAATTGTTGAGAAAACAAAAAAACTGCTTGAAAGAAGGAAATCTAATAGGATATGGCCCTTTATAAATGAAAAGATTTCTTGCGATGGTATATCTGAGTTAAATCACTGATATCACCAAGAACTGGATGCTATTCTTTGCATTTTTGTTTTATAAATAATAGTAGCAACCTAAGTCAATTTAACTAATCTGTTGACATTTTTCTTAATGTTTCAAGGAGAAAACCACATAATATTTTCTTTTTGTAAATTGTCTCCAGCAAATAACACGTCCCTCACAAGAAGACAAGTCAGAAGACAAAAATGAAGAGGACAAATCTGACAAGTCTGAGAAAAAAGAGGATGAGGAAAAGAAGGATGAGGAAGAGAAAGATGAAAAGGAGGATTCTAGGTGAGTTATGAATAGTTGTTTGTACAATGTCATTCTAGTCCATTAAGTTCCTGCAGGTAAAGGTACCCTCTTCTTGTTGTTAGTCTTTAATCCATACCCTGATTGTTTCAGGGAAAGTTTGTCTTAGTTCAGTATATTACATGACACTGTGTTTCAATGCTTTCAGTTAATTATATGTGGCTTGATTTCATTCTGGTATTTAAAAGCCAAATTGCAAACATTTGGGGCCCTATTTTGAGGATCCATGGCCTCTGATCAAGATGTATTGGTGCAAGTGGCATTTGGGTGTGTCCATGTTTATCTTGGTAATTTGACAAAGAGGAAAAATGGATTAAGTGCCTGTGCAAGTAGCAAAAGGGTTATACTTGATCTCCTCATTAAAGCAGGGGCCTGTTTCGGGCATAACATGCCATTATTCAATTAGTGTGTAACCTCACATCCTCTTTAAGAGATGTGAGAGTTTGAACATTTGGCGGATTGCTAGCATATTGGCGGACTTGGCAGGTTGGACATCTGTAAGATTTTCCACTGAGGAAACGGATCTGCTCATGGGCAAGGCAAAGGCGCATTTTGATCACTAATCAAAATGGTATTTATTATAAGTACATACATGCAACACCCAATCCACACAGTGTCATCTTCTTATTTTTTAAGCTTTGCATGTCTCTTGCAGTGTGTCCCAGGGTTTAACAAACACCGTGCATAAGCATTGTGCATGCACCTAGGCAGGCACACATCACAACACAGTCAAAGCGCACATTACTTAGCAATGATGATTTGGACGTTGACCACAGACATGGTTTTTGCTGGTCAGTGGTGCAGTCACTTTGTGCGCCCTCATATTACCAGTGTGTCCAAAATGTACCTGGACACACCCAATTTTCATCCAGACACCCCTGCTGGCTCAAAGTCAACAGAATTCTGCTTGGTAAAAAGGCAATGTGATGCACATGTCATGAAAATGGTAATTGCGTGGGTAGGAAATTAGGAAAAACAGATGGGCTACCCACGCAGCATGCCATATGTTTGTTGTAAGATAGGGCCCTTCATCTTTTCATAGTCCAGTGACCCTGTAATAGGTACAGTTATATATATCAACAATATTCTTCCAACCTATAAACGAGATTTAACTGTACATTGCTCTGCTAATGAAGTGTTCTAGCCTGCTGACATTGAATGGGAGTGAAGAATTTGAAAAGCTCACTTCACATTCAACCTTAATGGACCAGGCCCAGACAGTAATTTTTTTTTATCATGCAGTAAGAGTCAGTTAGCCTTCATGCGCTGCCCATCATAATCCTGTGATTAAAAAGAATACAAATCCTGTTTTTGGATTATGTTGTCTTGCAAAATGTTTGAACACCAGAATTGGTGCAATGATGAGAAGACTTCCCCAGGCTCTTATTGGTGTAGCGAAGTCTTGGAAGGGGTGTAGCATTGTCTATTTTGGTGCATTGGTAATAGACTAGATAGCTTAGTAATTTGTTAACCAGTCAGTTTAGAGTATGGACAACTCTAACATGCGTTTCATCTGTGTTCAGTCATGAAGGAAAAGAACTGATTACAAAAAAAGAGCCTGTTATTGCTGAGTCAAAAGAGAATGGATATTTGCTATACAGATTGTAAAGCTGTTTTCTCTCTCTCTTAAACCACAGGGACATTGTCAAGGACAAAGACAAGTGTGACGGTGGGGAGGACGAGGACGTAAAGGAGCAAAATACGCCACGTGGCAGGAAGACTGCCAACAGCCAGGGCCGCCGAAAGGGAAGGATCACCACACGCTCCATGGCAAATGAGGCCGCATCTGTAGCAGCTGAGGAAGCACCTCCTCCTGCCCCTGAGCCTGCCTTGCCAGATCCTCCACAGCTCCCTAAACCTGATCCAGCACAGAAGGCCATGAAGGAGCCTGTAAAAGCGCAGACGCCAGTAGCTAACATTGATGCTAATAAAGGTGAATTTTCTTGGGACATACTGTCAGGAAGTTGGTGAAAATATTGTTTTGCAAAACATAATCACAGCAGTTCTGACAGAAAGAGGGTTCACAAAAATAAAAACCATTTAATCACAAAATATGAGAGGAAAGGAATGTGTAATAGAACATCAGATTGGTGATTCAACAGCATGAAATTATCCAAAGCTGTTGCGTTAGCAGTAATGCTAATATTTTTTTGCCCTGCAGAGTTGTTTGTTTTCTTGTGGAGTCACTCAGTTTTTTTTTACACAGTCCTCACCCAGTGTATATAGATTTTGCACAATACATTTAAAATTCAATAGTGCTTTTTTGAATTTACTTATTTTTGGTTTTAACGTGAACATTGGTTAATACAGCATAATGTAAAGTAAATAGCAACCTATATAATTTACTGGCACAAATTATTTTCATTTCTCTAATGAATAATCAAGCGTTGTCACTTACTGGCCTGGTATAAAGAACGGTATTCAGACGCTTCTCTTCTTGCACCACGAGTTGAAAGAATGGAATGGCACACACTAAAAATACATATTTTAAATATGGTTTAGAGACTTGTCAGAATATAGCCTTGGTAGCTTTCTGCCTCTTAGGCCCTGTTTAGACTTGGTTTTAAAATGTGTCTTGACAATCAGATCACACATGGACAACCGAGACACATCACTGTTTACACCTCTTAATATACACCTGTGTTCATATTTTGCTACTGCTGCAACACTTCTGCTTAAATATCAAAAGGCTACCGGTAAAGTTATTACTTCAGTCTGTAACCAGACAAGTGCCAGTAGTCTCCCTAACCAAAGAAGAAGAAAACAAGCATCAGACTTGTACATGGATATAATCATGAAAGTCTTCACAATACAATGACAGATTTGTATCAGACAATTCTTTACAGTTTTTCTCTTTTTGAGTGTTGTGCACTCAACAAAACAACCACCACATCCTGCATTGATGGTGTATTTTTCTCGAACGGCCTTGTCAGAGACTCATCAGGACACATTAGCATTCACACTACAGAAGATATGTGGTCAAATGTATCCTAAGCCACCCCTGCAAGTGGTTTCTGTGATCGGATCGCAATCCGTCTTAGTGGTTGTTTACACTCGTGATCCAATCACCCAGGACACGTTACAGTAAGACACATCTTAAAACCAAGTATAAACAGTGTCTTACCAAGTGTAGATGCTTAAACTGTTTTTAGTTTGAAAGTGGACATTTGGTTCAGGAAGTTCAGGCATTCATTGCCAAGTGTCAGACATACTCTGTCCTGCACTGCATACCTCTTCATCACAATGGCAGTCCATTGCCAGAGCTGGGCTGTTGACATGGTGCTCAAGCACCACAAACTGGTACTCCTCCACCCTTTGTGATTCTCTGTTTCTCTGACAGTGGCAGCTCAGGTTTTCAGTTGCCCAAGTCGCTGTGTATTAAGCTTGTAGCGAGATTAATCTGTATCACTAATTTACTGTTTCATAAGTCTGCTGTGCTCCTCCATCACCTGCTCCTGCTGCTGACTGTTGTGCTCTTCCTCTCTCAGCAGTCTGAATTATGCAATGTCTGCCCTATAATGTAATTAATTAACCTTCCACAGTGCGTCCTTCCAGCCTGGCAGCCCTCTGACCTTTCTGGCCCTGTTCTGGGCATATCACAGTTTACACAGAACTGTGTCAACTGTAATCTGCTTTACTGGCTGCATTGTGGGGTTTTGTGTCTGTGTGTGTGTCTGTTTGCTTGGTCTGTTATAACCCCTGCAGCTATAGTGCTTCTTAGAAATTAGCGGGCTAAAGTTCTAAAGGGCAGCTATTTGTCAGTTTTGCCCAGATGCAATTTTGCCAGGCAAGTTTTCAGAAGCTGCTGATTCAGTGGGGGTTTGATCTTGTTTGAAGCAATTGGGGATGGTGTGTGTGTGTGTGTGTCTTTAGGTGAAGGGACTATGCTGTTGGCAGACAGTCTGTTTTCATAGCCCTAAAATTAATGACCACCCTAGTGGGGCCTAACTCACAGGGAGGGAATGTGAGTAGTCTATTAGACATTTGTTTAACTAAGTGTAATCAACTTGGTGGCTGGGGGGACCTTTGGAAGGAACCATCTATACAGTGAGAATTGGTCTCCACATCTTCAAGGTGGGTGGGTGGTGTGGGGCAGGGCCAAGCCTCCTGTTAATGTCAAGGGTACATTTGCTGCTATATTTGTCCAAATGTTTACACAGCCTCAGTGGGTGCCACGGGGGGAAGTGGGCTAGAGTTCACTCAGCCCCCTCCGTGCAGCTGTGCCTTTCTGTGAATTTTGTGTGGGTGATATGGGACTGTGTAGCCAAGCTGACGAAGGAAGGTGGAGTGTGTATGAGATGCACAGTGTCACAGTATAATGGGTAGGGAGGTTTTCGGGCTGGCTCGTTGTTTATTTGTCTCTATCCAAGGCCACTTCCTGAAAAGGGAGGCACGGCTCTTGACTCCTCCACTGTCTGGCGCTACATCAGCTGACCAAGGCCCTCCCCTTGTGGATTAGAGAGGGGGAGGGCTTATTCTAGGCTGTGGGGAAGAGGAGAGAGGAAGCGAGTGAGCTAGAGCAAGAGTGTAAGTGAGGGAACAGGTCTCGGCAGCTCCTAAATGTAAACAGATTATTAGATTAGTGGTCATAAGAAGAATAAGGCTGAAGAAAGGACTTGCTCTCTCTCACTCGCTTTTCCTCTTCATCTCTCTTTCTCTTTCCTTCTGTCAGTGCTGATGGGGTTCTGTCTCTTTCCTTTGTGATTTAGCGGGTGCTGGTGAAGCTGGAGAAACTTCTCGCTGGACCGAGGAGGAGATGGAGGTCGCCAAAAAAGGTAGTGTTTCAATTTCTCTCACTTTATCTCTTTATTTTTGTTTGTGTTGCTGTGGCTTTTGTGCTTTTTCAGATTTTTCCTTGTTTTCCTCCCTCCCCTGTATTCCTCTTCTGATTATCTGATGTTGCCTGGCCATTCCAGTTTCTTATCTGCACAAAGGAATGGATGTACACATGCGTTCACACAAACAGAAACTTGTGCTGCTGTTTTTCTAGAAGCTGTCAGAGACCCATGAAGGGTTACAGGGAGGTTTTTTCTTTTAGCTGCACTGTTCTGCTGGCTTCTCAGAAGTGATCAATTAAAGCCTTCTATTAAGCAACACAGCGTGACATTTGTGGCTTCCTCCAAGTTCACTATCTATTATTGATGTCAAACACTTTGTCAGACCCTCTAAATAAATTTAAAGTTATTTTCCTCTTGTAAATTAATGTAATTTCAATGCATTTCATTGCATGCTATGCAATGCTCAGACTGCATCAGTGCAGTCAGTAGTCTGGTCTTATGTCATTTAAGTATGCCCCTTCTCCCCGTAGTTGGCTTTGTCGGTATAGAACCTTATTTAGGGTTCCGTGTGTGCCAAGAACCATCAACTTGGAGGGTAGAGGGGGTACATAAAGGGATTAATGTGGATTAATTAAGACCTACTTGTGTGGGTACTGGAGGTTTGTTCCCTCGTCTAAGTCATAGCTGTAACCTGTTGTAACAACATCTGTTTTAATACAAGGCTAACACATCCTAGGTATGGTAGCCACATCATAAGTTTCCCTGGAGAGCAAAAGAACTTTTATTTTATGATGAGAAATATAAAAGAACAGTTTGTTATAGCTGGTCAAACTTCACATAATTATTAGGAACCAGCAGTTTCCATTGGTTTTGTCATTAACAAACCTATAAGCAAGAAACAGGGTCTTTTGAGCTCCCATTTAACAGCCTAATACTGCAATCTTTACTGTTGTCTTGTCGGTCATCGTTATTTCCCTGGTTTATCTGTGTGCTGTCAGTGATATTGGAGCGATTAGGGCTTCAGATAAAGATGTTTGTTGCAAGTATATTATTTGGACAAAGTTACCAGAAAACCTTACAGTAATACATATAATTCAGTAAAATGAAAAAATGAATCAACTCTTCCTGACAACTAAGCTTCACAAAGATGGCGTTTAATTGTAGGCTGTTGTAATTTCTCTAACATTGACATCTGTTCCTTTTAAATATTTTCCAGTAATAAAGATATGTTTGTCATGCCAAGTATCCACCAAACAGAATTTTTAATTGAGATGGTAACATCCTCATAGATTTGTCAAGGACTTTGATCAAGGATTTTGCACAATATGAATGGGTAGATTGTTGCCATGGCAATTCTATAATACTAAAGTGTTATGTTATTTCAACCCTGTAACTCTAAACAGTCCCAATGCCCTTATTTCTCCATGTAAGTGGAGCAGTAATGGGGCTTTGTGTTGCACTCTGTGGTGATTTGTCACGCTACCAGTGGCCTTCATGTCACTATGACTGGGAAGGAGGGGAGGTAGCAGGGGTTACGAGACTTAAGAGAAGAGACGGCCTAATGTAAAAGGTAAATGGCAGTCCTCCAGTTCACTGCAGCTTGGCAGAGTAGTTTCAGAGTTTAGATAGGCCTTTTAAAGCTGGTTGTGTACTTAACTCGGTGTTAATCAGGATGGGAAAGCCCTGCAACCATAACAACAGGGCCCGGTGTAAAGTATAATATTGCAGCCATACCAAAGGTTGACCATCGGTAATAACTGCAGTAGGAGAAAGACTATTAAGAATTTACTGAGATCAACTTCTTGAATCATAATTAGAAATATGATTTGATGGTCTGACTCTGATGTGCCTGTTAGATACCTGTAGTGCCTACTATAATTTTATTAGTATGAGTCTGAATGTAAGTCTTAAAAGGGAGAAAATCTTTAATGCTGGTGCTGAATTGTCTGTCTTTGTCCTGCACCAGGGCTAGCTGAGCATGGGCGCAACTGGACAGCCATTGCCAAAATGGTGGGCACCAAAAGCGAGGCGCAGTGCAAGAATTTCTATTTCAATTACAAGAGACGTCACAACCTGGACAACCTGCTCCAGCAGCATAAGCAGGTAACCTATTTGCTGTTCTCTGCTTTGTATTATGATCTGTTATTGAGCTGTTGTAACTACAGTGTATGAATGCAAGATGCTACTTTGTTTCAGTTTTATTTTTCTGTTTCACAGGATACACGGCGGGCTCGCGCTGATAGGTCTCAAGGTGAAGGTCTAGCCACAGCATCACCAGATGATGATGAGGACAACGGAGATGACAGTGAAGGTCAGAGATGGTCGATAGGAAGCGTGTCCTCACTGTTAAACACACACACACACACACATTTGATTTGTTTATTCCTGTTAATCTGAGGATCAAGTCCTAGGGCAACATGGGTGAAGGACACACAGCAGGCTTCTAGGTTTTTGTATCCAAGTTTTGTCTTTGTGAGTCCTGAAGCTTCGCGCTTGATAGTACCAAGTATTATGTAAAGAGAGTAAATGGGAGAAGTAATAAGTGCAGGGCAAAGCTGATAAGCCTTCTGAATTGGATTGGATTGGATCTGAAAAAGATAAAATTGGAGTTGATGGCAATGTGCCTGCTCCCTACTGAGTTTAGTTTTAATGAGAGGTAAAACAAGGATCAAATGATAAAAAGCAAGGTGGAGACGAAGAGATAAAAGATATGAACTAATTTGGACTACATGGACACCTGTTGCATAACAGTTGTTGACTTTGAAGACTGAAGAAAGCCTTCTTATTGATCAGGCAAACCTGCCTGTCTTCTCACCTCCCTCCTCTTTGCTGGAATTACATTACGGAGGCAGTCCACTGTGAAAAAGGGACAATGCTACATATAGAAATACAGACTATTATGAATTTTGCCTTACTAGTGCTGAACAGTACTGATTTGTAAAATGAACATTTTGTCTTTTGAGCAGCAGAGAAAGTTGGTATGTCCTTTATGTTGGCAAACAGTAATGCTTAGCAAACCTCCAGTTCACAAGATAACAGTGGTGACAACAGGAGGTCACAAGATTTCTGTTGCGTTTATTTGACTTTCTCTTTGTCTCATGGAAACCCAAACTGCTCTGCAGAGGCCTTGGTGATCTGCAGCCTGCAGATCATACATTATACACACTCTACATAAAGTAATAAAAGGCATTAGGAGAACTCTATTAAAGTGTACTTAGAAACATTGTGAACTTTGACTTTTGGATGTTTAGTAATGTTGCTTGTCTGATTTGTGGTTTGAGGCAATTAAATCATCTGCAAATTGTTTTTGCATAGACATACAATCTGGACCACCATCACCATGACAATGGCTGCAGCCACAGACAGTATGTAAACCAACAGAGGCAGGCAGATTTATATGCAAGTTCTATCTTAAAGATGTTTGGACTTCAGATACAATTTTTTTTCCCTCATACACTGCAGTTTATTCAGTGTCTGGCATTACATCTTGACATTTGAAATACAATAAACAGATGATTAGTTTTGTATTTTGAAAGGCTATTTTCTTTTATGCTTAAGGCCTTGATCTTAGTACAAGAAAGTCAGCAATATAAAGCAAGCTTGTTAAATAGAGGTTCGTAGATTTGAGACAGTAAGAAGAGGTAATTACTGTGTACGGAAGCAAAACATGATGATAGATAACTTCCAGATGGGTAGGAAAGAAATTTGTAAGCCATAACGTGAAGGCAACTTATGCTGCCCTTCCACCTAATGTATTTTCAAGCTTTTTATTTTTATTTATTTATTTTGTCGCAAATTTCCAATGTCAGAATAAAATCATGAGTCTTGCTACGGTCGTATCATACTGGCATCATCTCAGTTGTTTGGTGTAAGGTGGTGATCTGAGCTATTATATGTCATTTTTTTCTTGTCTTTTTGTTCCAAGAAAACATGTTTAATATTACCACAAGTCTTTAGTCTTGGATGCGATCATTGTAAACAACCAGTAGGTGAGCTTTCTCCAGCATCAAACAGGAAGCAGCATAGTGGGCACAGAAACACCGGTAAATACATAATACATCTATGGGTAAATATGATGGAGACTCCAGTGGCTCCATGCCTCAGATGGCACAGTTCTGTTGGTCTGTTACAAAGGAGGAGAAACTGGTGAAGTTGTGAAGTGAGCAACACAGTGAGGAAAAAGAAAAGGTGGACAAACCTCACTGCCCCTTTCAGTCAAACAGGGTCATGTCCACATTCTCCATGTCCTTTTTTTTTTCTTTTTTGGCTGTTTTCCAAGCAAAACACTGCACACACAAGTGCACCTGTAGCCAAACACAGGAGCATATGGGAAGTATGTCTGTGCAGATTCTCAGTCAACCAGGTCATAGTAAACTGAAAAAACTTAGACATCTAGTCCAGTTGATTTTTCAGTTTACATATGGGAAGTAGCCTCCAGAGAAATCTAGTTGCCGTCTTGCAAAGGACTCCAAGGTTCCTCACATCAGTACTGGAGGCAAGGGCTATGTCATCTAGAGTAACTGTAGGGTTAAATAACATATTTCTAAGGTTTTCAGGTCCAAGTATAATAACTTTGGTTTTGTCGGAATTTAGAAATAAGAAATTACAGGTCATCCAAGCCTTTGTCTTTAAGACATGTTTGAAGTTTGACCAATTGATCTGATTCTTGTGGGTTCATAGATAAATATAACAGAGTATCATCTGCATAGTAATGGCAATTTATGCTGTGTTTTCTGATTATACATGCTCCCCTATATATTAAGTGAAGAGAATTGGATCTAGCACGGAGCCCTGTGCAACGCCATGACTAACTTTAGTCTGCACAGAAGATTCATCATTAACATGAACAATTTGGAATTGGATAAATATGATTTGAACCAACTTAGTGCATTTCCTTTAATCCCAGTAACATGTGCAAGTCTCTGTAGTAAGATGCTGTGATCAGTGGTGTCAGTAGCAGCACTGAGATCTAAAACAAGTATAGAGACAAATCCTTTGTCCGAGGCTAGGAGGAAATCGTTGGCGACTTTCACAAGTGCAGTTTTTTTTACTATGATGGACTCTAAACTAGACTGAAAATCCTCAAACAAATCATTCTAGTGCAGGTGGTCAAATAGCTGCTTTGCATCAGCATTTTCAGGGATTTTAGTAGTAAAGGGATTGTGTGTTTCGCTGGGTTTCATGAATTGTTTGACATGTAGTAATTCATCTTCTCATGCTCCCTCAGGTGGTGACAACAGCTCTGATACAGAAAGTGCCCCCTCCCCCTCTCAGGCTGATTCCTCAAAGTCTTGTGACTCCAAGAGGGCAGACAGTGCTGCAGGAGATGCTTTGTGCACTGACCAGGACAAATATCAGGACAGCAATGGAAAGGCCCCAGAGCCCTCATATGTGGATCTCTGTATCAAGGAAGAGAAAAGCCCAGAGAGTGAGGCTGGATCTCAGGAGGAAAAGGCCAGGGTGGCCTCTTATGCAGGCTCACTGCATCCCAAAACGGAACCTCAGGATGTGGATATGAAGACTGGAGATGTTCAGGTCAAGATGGAGCCTGAGATCAAGGAGAAAGGAGAAAAGGGAGATCATGGTGAGAGACAGAAGGATCTCAATTCAGATAATGACTCCAGTGCCACCTGCAGTGCTGATGAGGATGTGGAAGCAGAGCCTGACAGACAGAGGTGGGTTTTTTCATCATTACTGTCTTCATGCTGTCATGCTGTGAAGCCATAATTGCATTTTGCAAGAACTAGACATGAGTGGTAGTGATGTATTTTGCCTTGTGCCTCTGTAGAATATTCTCCATGGAAAAGCCTTCATTGCTCAGCCCTCCAGGCTCGGTGCTTGTGTCCTCACCCAAGCAAACCCAATTCAACATCCAGCAGATGCAACAGCGGGCAGCTGCTATCCCACCCATGGTTAGTCACAGTTTCAGGTTGATCCATTTAGACTCATATGGGGGCTGGCAGCAAGTTGAAAATATACCTGTGTGTCAGTCATTATGAGCAGTGTGTTATGATAAAAAGTCAAGAAAACAATGCTGTGGTGTGCTGTGCTGACGATATTAACTGTTGATCTGTAACTATGGATAATTTATCTACAAAGGTCTCGATTTACAGTTGCAATCAGAAATATTCAAACCCCCAAAGATTTTAAAGATTTATTAATTAAAGTTTTTTCAAAGAGTAAGATTCTGCTATGGATGACTTCTTTATGAGTTCAGTGATACATAAAATCAACACAGAAAATGCATGATGTAGTATGTGTGTAACAATATATTTTGTTAAGACAGCTATGTCACAATTATTCAACCCCTATATACAGTAATGTTGTTGTTTTTAAAGCTTTCTGACAGTTTTTATGGCCTAAAGTGGAGTTGAAACATAATTAAGCCTTTGGGAACTCTATAATGATCCTTCATTTGCTTCAGCTGTGATGCATATATAAAACCCAACCATGAAGGTATTCAAGATAAGTTGCAATCATGGGAAAGACAAAGGAGCGTCTACAAAAGCTGAGAGGGGAGATTATTTCATCATGCCCGAAGGGCCTTGGGTATAAGAAGATTTCCAAAAGATTTAACATTCCAACAGATACCACTGGGAGCATTATAAGGAAGTTTAAAACTTATGGAACAGCTGCAAACCTGCCTGGCCATGGAAGACATGCCAAAATTTCATCAAGGGCCCTTAGCAACTTAGGACAGCTAAGAAAAACCCCTGTGTGACACCTACAGGGTGACATGATGAAGGTGAAGGCTGGTACAAGTGCTTCAGTGGCAACTATAAAACATGCACTGAATAAACAAGGACTTCATGGCTGGACCCCAAGACGCACTCTACTCTTGACCATAAGGAACATCAAAAGTCAACTAGAATATCCCAGGAGGAATTTGGATAAGACTGCAGAGTTTTGGGAGACAGTTTTATGGACTGATGAAACCAAACTGAAAAAGATCCTGGAACATCCTGGAGGGGCCTTCTAAGTCACCAGATTTAAATCCCAACATAAAATCTTTGGTGGGATTTTAAGAAGGCATTTGCAGCACGGAAGCCATCAAATATCACTGAGCTAGAGGATTTTGCACGTGAATAATACTGCACATGCGTTAAAAGAGTTACATTTTTCATTTGAACTTCAAAGTTGTCAAAATATCTCAGATGAGAGTCACTTTCGGGTTTTCCCGTTTAGGGGTCGCCACAGTGAATCGTCACACTGACGACTCGCATGTTGACATTTGGCACGTGTTTTATGCCGGATGCCCTTCCTGATGCAACCCTGATTCGAACCTGGGACGCAGCGGCTGCGCCTTAACCACTAGCCTACCAGGGACAGCTAATATTTTTAGTTTAATGAGGTTTTTTGTCATTTATTGTCATTATCTTTCATCAGCATCACTATGTCTTTTGAGGTGAGGGGGTAAAATATTTCTGATTGCAGCTGTAAGTGTAAAACTATATAGTCTTATTTTTATGTTGAATAAATGTGTTGTTTGAAATTTGGTCCGGGCTCTGTACAGTACTCGGATAAACTTCTTCTCATCTAGTTTACATCTGGCTTTCCAGCTCATGTGGGCTTTTTCCCCCTGTAACTTCTCTAGGTGCCTGGTCCTTATGGCCCTGGTGGTGTGCCCATCAGTGGTTTTGCCATGTTGCAACACCAGATCAAAGCTGTGCATGAGTCTGCACACCAGGAGGAGAAGCAGAGGCAGGATCAGGGAGAGCTGGAACGCAGACCCCCTTTCAGCACACGGAGCCCCTCCGTACTTGACAGAGATGGTAAGAGACTAATAACTATTCTCTGTCCTCATCTCTCCTTCCTCCTATTCAGTCACTCCATCAACCTTTCTCCCTGTTGCTGCTAGTGGTGGACTATTTATAGTGAATGCATTTTTAGATCCCATTCATTTTTGTGCACTTTCAAAATAGGAATGGTTTGAGGGTTATCTGAACTATCGTAATGTGGTTTAGCCTGAGCCAAGACAAAAAAAGTTAGCTGACCCTGTTTTACATTTGAGTTGCATTTGATGAAACTCAGAGCTGAAGTGTGTGTTGATGCAATTCTTGAATTGCCTTTGGATAAAGAAGGGGACTGTGATGGTTTTTTTTGGAGTTGTGTGACTTGAGCTTGTCAGAATAGGACACTTGCTGCTGCTGGGCAATGGCACAGAGTTTACCCACTTAGCTTCACAAGGGAGAGTGGGAAAATCACTGGGCTGATTGCATTATGGTGTGCTCTTTGCAAAGCTTTTAGCGCCGATTAGTCAAAGTGTTGCGAAGAGGAGAGCAGCTGTCAGTAAGCTGCTGAGCTTTGACACCAAGATATTTATTACATACATTTTGACGGGTGTGTGTCCAGATGGCGGTGTTAGCTGCAGAGTCCATTCTGGGTCAGCTCAGTGCTCACTGGCGTTGAGATCTTGTTTTAATAGTGGTTGTCTTCCCTTTGTCCTTATGGCTGTGTACTGCAGGTCAGCTCTTATCCTACATGCCTTATGACATGAAGCTGGCTCTGGACCAGGAGGCCCACTCTGGCCGGCCAGGCTCTCCCTACAGACTCTCTCCCAGAGAGCTGAGCAAGGCCTCACCCCAGCCTGACCCCAACGCCCCCAATGCTTCCCGCTACAGTGTGCCGCCAGGTAAAAGCACACATCTTCACCTCCTCTTCCCTTCCCTCCTTGCTTCCCCCACTTCCCTTGCTGAGAACACACCTACCTCACCTGACTCCCATTGAGTGTTGTGCTTGACAGTTGTGGCTCTGTATTGACTGTTGACAGCTATATATTTTGGACTGAAAGCAGTTTATGTATGAGCCAGTCTTATACATATTTCATTTTGATATGTTTTGACATTTATATTTTACTAAATTACAGGCTGTAGTAGCCTTTTTATATCTGAAAAAACTGGATGTGCTTGATTATCTTTATTTGAAGCTGAGATTTTAATCCTGTTGTAAGTCGAGCTTTGACGGTGTTTCAGAGCTTTTGTTCATCAGATAAGTCTGGTTTTATTATCTCTTGTCCAAAGGTATAATTGGGGTTGCACTACATACCAGAGGTGTCTGGTCAGTGTTCAGCTGATGTGAGAAATACATTTTGGAACCTCAGCAGTTACCTTTGAGAAATACTGGATTGAAATATTGAGCACTTTTAATAAGAGCCGAGCATTTTGTCTGCTTTGAGTCTTGTTTAGATTGCTGGCGCATAACACTTCTTACAGCAGACCACATTACCATTATGTATGAGTGAAATTCATGGTACGCTTGTACATGTGTATCCAGTAGTACAGTAGAGTTCAAAGAAGCATGAACTGACTTTTTCTGGTATTATCACATACACATGTAGGTTTGTGATCAATGCATGATGTTTGAATCGCTGCTAGTCAATAGTTGCCATCATCACCAGTTTTATTTTCCTTTTATTGCACAAAATTCAAAGGTTACTTAACTTAAATTCAGTGACATCCTAATTCCATGACTAAGACCAGAGAAAAGACTTTTTTTTAATGCTGGTTCAGTCATATATGACTAAAAATACCTGTGCTTGTTTTATTGAAAAGTTGATTTTTATTGTTGGTGACTGAACAGTATTTGCAATGTTGCACCCTGAACTTTGATGAGACCCTTATCAAATAAGATTTCTGTATTTACAGTTGTCTGACATTGTTGCAAGGGTACAGTAGTATTTTTTTTAAGTTCCAATATCCTCTAAAAGTTGTTATAATGAATTATGAATCAGTGAACTGTCAAATTAAATTTAGCTTAGGTATGCATGGCTGGCAAGTGAGCTAGGATTCATTTTCTCAAGCGTCATTTTCATTCACTATGTGTTCACTAGACGTTTAGATGTAGATCATTTCAAATTCACAGTGAAATATCTTTTATCCATGCATAACAACCTTTGTCCCCTGAACCATTAATCATTACATAAAATCTGCATCTTCAGTTTTTTATTGCTGCTGTGACAGTGACTGAAAGCTCAGGTGGCTCATTCAGAGTTTTGTGTATGCAGGACAATTTTCAGATAATTGCAAGAATTATACAATAATAGAAAATGGAGGCAGTATTAGGTTCAAAATTATGAACAAGTTTGATGATCAAAACGGTTACTGTGAAAATTTCTTCTGCTGTTGTTTGTCATTTGATGCAAACATATTTCTCATATCCTGACAAGTGTTAATGTTTGGCACACAGTCCTCCTAAAACAGGGATTTATTAGTTCACCATACTCTGCCTTGTTGTCTTTTCTGCCCCATGTATGAGCCAGCATGGTGATGTCATCCACCCCCAAAGGAAGAACTCACACGCAGTCATTTGCATGTTTGATTTTGTAGAGTGCAGAGTATGAGGTATACTCCCTGCAGGGAGGTTACCACCTATCTTTGTGCATACATAGTTGTGTGTGTTATAATCCATTTTGTCTACTCAGCTTTCCCAGGAGACAGTAAAGCAGACAGCAAGCATGGACTGAGGTTACCTTAGGCTGAGGTACAGGCTATTAACTGAGGTCCTCAGAGCTTTCCTCGCCACTAACTTGAGTCAGTCAGGATGAAACTGAATATTTTATTATTGCAGTCTTAGATGGGAAATGAAGCTTAATGGAACCTGAATGTAGGTTGTTTTGAGTTGTGGTGTCTTGGCAGGCAGAAATCATATAGATGGGTTTAAATTAATGGATAACATTTTGGTTGTTTTCTTTTTTGTTTTTGTAAAGAATGTTTTGAGTAATTTGCAGTTTGGAAAGGTTATTAGATAGGATAGGCTGATTTATTTATTTAAATTTTTTGGTCCTTTTTTTTATATATATTTCCACCAGTCCTCCACCCAGTCCCCAACCAGATGAGCCAGGGCATGCCAGATGGAGTGCGCGTGCCATTCAGCAGATCCAGTCGACCTCCAAACATTCCCTCTCCTCCTCCACTCATTCCAACCACCAAGCCGGCGGACAAGCCATCCTTCATCCAAGGAGGCTCCATCTCCCAGGTAAGACAACGGGGATGATGGCACTGCTCTGCTGGCAGTCCCAATCAAGAAACCCTCCTCTGACTTGCAATTCACACTAGAGTTCAGACAAACCAGTGTGAACAAATGTAATTCCTTAATTTTCAGTTTTGTGTGAGCACTTAACAACTACACATCTGCATTTGATGATGAAATGTTTTCCACAACAGACACCATAACAAACTAACCACTGTTCTGTCAGCTACCAAACTTGATTTTATTTAACAGTTTATGAAAGGACAACATAATGCTATGTACACTATTCTCACATAAAATTTGCCCAAAGAGTTGGAGTAACATGATGTTTAAGTGCTAAACTGAAACAATGAAGCAGAGTGTAACCCAAACCTGAACCTTAACATTTTGTTGTGCTGACTTTGTTAGCACAGACGCTGGGTTCACACAACTCAGCTGATCTTCTGGAAAATGATGAGTATCTAAGAAGCTCTGACCCAGAAAGATACACCACATGTTTTAGAAAATGTGTGGGGTTTTTTCCATTACTGTGTGAATCTTTTCAGTGATAAATATATCTTAGTGCTTATTGGGGCCCATAAATTAAATTGAAATAGAAATGTGTTAGTGAATTACAGTAGATCAGGGATACACAAAGGGGCACAGCTCAACAACAGATGCAGGCCTCCTTTTAAAGTCTAATTTTCTAGACACTTTTTTTTCTCTCATTCAGTGTTTCAAGTCATCGCCTGTTTCTCAACCAATCTGAATTTATCAGGAAGGATTGTTCTACATTTGCAGGGAATTAATGAGCTGTGAAAAGTGAACATAAAAATGTCTGCCTTGTCCAGTTTTGTAAGTGTACATCCTGTTGATGTTCATTACATGAACTGAGTTTTCTTGTTAGCTAAGCACTACAGAAATGGCACAGGTGTCCTGTTTGTTGGTCGTAGTGCTTACAGTGTGACAGCTGGCTAACAGTCAACACGGGTATATCATAGGTCACTGCACTGTTGTAAAAGGTGTATTAGTCATAAAACATTTGTGATTGTTATGACTTCATCTACTACAGCAGAGGTGGAAAGAGTAATAAAATTTTGTACTCAAGTAAAAGTACTGTTACTTCAATGAAATTTTACTGAAGTACAAATAAAGTTACCAGGCTAAAAATCTACTCAAGTAAAAGTAACTCATTAAAAACTTACTCTGAGTAAAAGTAACTGAGTTACTTTTTTTAAACAGCAGGGATTCTAGTATAGTTCAAAAAGAGACAAAGGGATATAAATCTCAGGACTGTTTTTAATTTAGGGAACACCTTTACAAATTAAAGTGCAATAATAGAATTTAATTTAAAAAAAAGAATAAAAACATACATTTTAAACATTAAGGGAGATAGTAATTCCAGTGCAGATCATCCCGTAAAACATTTTAAACAATACAACTTTTGAATATTGCATAAACTGTGCATTCAGTAGAGCAGCCTAGTGATAGTTCAGTAGTTTAAGTGGGCGTGTAAGAGGTATTTATGCCTATCTAGTGTATTCACTGCAGCAGACAGTGCTCAGCACTCTCCTTGTTTGCAAAAGCATTAAGGTATATGTAGACAGCATCAAAAACATTTTCCCCAGGTTTCACAGACCAGGCCGTGTTGCTGTCCCATGTGCTCAGCACTGTAGCTCTGCTCCTGCACACTGGAAGAATCCCGAGCATTAAACACAGTCTTCTATGAGTAACACTGACTAATGTTACAGTAATGCTTCAATCTTTTGCAACATCAGCAGATCTACTCTAACATGTAACACGTTTCATTCATTTCGTATGACAATCATGACACTGCTCAATTGCGCGTTGTCCCTGTTAATTTCTAGCCCTCGTGCTAACAACATTGACAATGTCACACATTGAGGCAATGCAACAGTACAACAATTATGTAAACTATAAACACAAGTAATATTAACTTCTTAAGTTAAACTTACCTCAACATGCTTGTGCAGGTTTGATGTCGAGTTTATATAAGCTGCCAGTTCAGTCGACTTTGGCAAACACATCTTACACTGCATAATAAAGCTGTTGTCTTTCTTGCGCTTAAAATGAAGCTGGTCGCTTAAATATGGCCAGGGGTTTGTTTTATATGAGGAACTTGATGGCATTTCACTTTCAGCTGTGGCTCCATCACTGGCGCCTCCTTCCTCCCTTTCCCTCTGTGAGTTTAGCGCGCTTGTTCTCCCCGCCCATCAATCAATCAATCAATCAATCAGTGCAGTGCTTCCGGGGCGCGATTATTTTTCCTTCCCCATTGCAATACTTTTATTTTTTGAATTAATTTATTTTTTACTCAGTAACAAATATGATTTAAAATGTAGCGAAGTACAATACTTCAAACAAAACATACTTAAGTAAAAGTGAAATTACAGATTTTAAAACTACTTTAAAAAGTCTAAGTACACAAAAAAATTACTCAATTACTTTAACGCGAGTAAATGTAATCCGTTACTTTCCACCACTGTACTACAGTTTATAAATGCAGAACTCTAACACATGAACATCAGCATCACTCGATGCCTCTTTCTTGTTTTATGAACACAGTGAGCCACCCTTGAAATCTTTTCTTTGTCCCAACTTTTCCAGGGAACTCCTGGCACATACCTCCCATCCCATGTAGTCTACGGACCAGAGGGGACTAAGAGCACTGTGGGCTCCATCTCGCTGGGTCTGCCTCGACAGCAGGATCCCAACAAGCCCGGTAGGACAGCAGATTACACACACATTACAACACTCTTTTGTCATTGTGCCATTGTGTAAAACTCTATCTCTCTGCTGGGATTTTTCCATCATAGGAATTTACAGACACATGTAAGGCTTTGTTTCCACTGCCCCCTGGTGGGGGGTGGGGGACATAATATATATGGCATACTATGTTACTACATCAAATGATTATTCAGGACAATTAAGAATATATTCACCATGAAAGAAAGGCTGATTATTAACACATCCTTTGGAACTTTGGAGCACAGCTTTATTGTGTTATGCCATAACTGATGCAATGTGAAGCATCAGTATGCATTAAATATTTCCTCGCAGTTGACTTCTGAACTACATGCTGTCTGTCTTTGGTCTCTGATCAGAGGTGTTCTCACTACAACACCAACAGAAACTACTGACCTGTATTGTAGTGGCCCTGCAGTTGGAACCCATAATATTTTCAGCCTGGTCAGAATTTATCAGAGATGATTCAACTACCGCATTTTGGTGTGTGAAATAATGTAGCATATCTAAAAGTGCTTCTTTCTATTACATTCATCTACATTCATTTTTAATGCTAATATGGATGTAAAATTAGGTCTTGTGTATGGTGTAAAGAAGGTCTTAAAAAGTTGTAAATTTAACATGATGAAACCTGCAGAAACCCTGTCCTCTAAATTAGATGCCTCAGTACCAGATTTACAGTTTTCCAGACCTCCTTCAACAGATCAGTTTGTATAGTTTATTTGTTTACACAACAGTCATTGTTATGGATACCTTTGCTTTAATAAAAGTACAAGGTATACCATATATGGAGGATCATGCTCTGCTACTATCAATCAGACACTGGGATTCTGTGACAGTAAAATCACATCATGGTCTGTGGACAAAAACTTCTGCTTTCAGTATTTTTTTCCCTGTATAAGTTAAAGTTTGACACCTAAAAATTCAAGCTTTTGGTTCAGCTCCACTAGATGGCACTAACCACACATGACTCTTTTTTTATTTCCACTTTGGGACTCTCACGGTCCTGTAGTTCCATCCATACAGGATGGCAGAGGCAACCCAGCAAAAGTGGGCGAGAGCTTGGCTTTTAGAGGATCGATCACTCAGGTAAGGACTTTCTTAGGGTAATTGGATGATAAAAGCTGTGAATGGAAAAGTGACAGATAAGGAAAGGTGTATGAGTTTACATCTTTGCATTTTTCTAAAATAGGGCACACCAGCCCTGCCCCAGACCAGCATTGCCGCTGACCTCCTGAAGGGCACAATCACAAAGCTGGCCACAGCGGACCCGAGCAGCCCAGAGAAGGCCAGAGGAGAACAGCTGACTAAAGGTCATGTCATCTATGAAGGCAAGATCGGTAACATACTCTGCTTTGATGGTATGTGCTTTGATTATTGGTACATCACATAACTGTTGTGTATTTTTCTTCCACACAAACTTGATCATGAATTTAATTTCCCAAAGCTATCAAGAACCCCAGGGAAAACACCCGCAGCCCCAGAACAGGCCATGACATGAAACGCACTTACGACATGATGGAGGGACCCATGGGCAGGGGACACCCTGTCAGGGAAGGTGCTCCATTTGAAGGTACTGCTTGTGTATCATTGAGTTTACAGTATGTGTCCTGGTTTGTTTGTTCTATATCAGGAGGGTGATTATGCTTGTTTGTTTCTCAGGGTTAATTAGCAGAGCTTTGCCCAGAGAAGGTCTCCATGGAGATTCCAAGGAAAGACCAGTGATCACTGGATCAATCATGCAAGGTAGCCAATTGTAAAGCTCACCACATTTTCATAAGCTGCTCACTGTTACTACTAGCAGCAAAGAAACCAAAAAGCTGAAATGCTTCTCAAATCTTTCCAGGAACACCGAGAACCACTGCAGAAACCTATGAAGATACCATGAAATATGGAAAACAGATAAAGCGAGAGAGCCCACCAATTCACTCCTTTGAAGGTGGTATTGGCAAAGGCAAGCCCTATGAGGGAGTCAATACCATCAAAGAGATGGGGCGCTCCATTCATGAAATTCCCCGGCAAGACCAGGCTGGCCAGGCCATCTGCAAGACCCCTGACTTGTCAGACAGGAGAGTTATGGAGGGTTCCATATCTCAGGTAAGAAGGGCTGGGTAGAAATTTTTTGTGGACAGCATATACTACTGCCATTCTTTTGATCTGTTTAGTAGACAAATGTCCATGTTACATAGGGTTTTTCTTAAAACATTTGTTAGCGAATATGCAAAATTAACAAAAATAATGATTTTAACCAGTGATACTGATGCTCTGTTGTTTCCTCCATTTACCAGATTCACTGCCTTAACCAGCCAACTATCAAGCACAATGTAAAATCCCTTATCACCAGTCCCACTAAGCTTTCCCACAGTATGCCCCAGCTGGAGGCCATGGAACGAGCCAAATACGAGGAGAGCAAAGCGGTACGCCACACATCTGTGGTCAACTCCACCACCTCCGTCCTGCGCTCAACACACCAGGAGGCTGGCAAATCTCAGCTTAGCCCGGGCATGTATGAGGATGCCAATGCTCACAGGACCCCTGTCAACTACAGCACCAATCCTGTTTCCAGAGGATCGCCCATGCTAGGACGTGCTTCAGAGGGTATATTCCATAATGATTTTATTCACAATCTGTGGCTTCAGGTTTTCAGTCATTCACTACCAAAAATCATTATTGTACGGTATAATTACGACAATTATAGCTTTAGACAAAATAGAATTAGACAGTTATCTTGCTGAGCCAGCTCATGTTATTAGCCCAAATAAGCATATTTAGGAGTAAAATGTAAAGTGCGTCCACTGGTGAGGGTTTTAGGTGAACTTTTACTCCTGGTTTTAACTTGATATTATGTTGTTGTTTAACTAAGCATTAACTAATTAGATGAGCTATGTCTATTCCTCTTTCCTTCAAAGGTGGCATGAGCTCTGCAAAATCTGTGGCACATGAAAGAAAGAGTGCCATGACTCCCACACAGAGGGACAGTGTCCCAGCCAAGTCTCCTGTATCAGTTAGTGATCCTGTAGCCTCTCATAGCCCCTTCGACCCCCACCACCGGTCCGTTGTTCCTGGGGAAGTGTATCGATCCCACCTGCCTCCACATCTCGATCCCGCCCTGGCCTTTCACAGAGTACTGGATCCTGGTACAGTGTTTAAAACCCTTGCCACCATACCCACAAACAGAATAACAATATCCCTGATTCTAAGTAAACTGATAAAAGCAACTCAGACTCTAATTCATAGGCATTACATGTCCAGGATCTTTTTCAGCTGTTGACGTCAGCAGTTGCGATCAGTATCTGTGAACCTTCTGTTCATATGCTTTGTTGTTCCTTTTTTGTTTGTTTGTTTTTTTTTTTTTTTTTCCTTCCTGTCCTCTACTGCAGCGTTCATGTTCCCTAGGCAGCCGTCCCCAAACAGCTACCACAACACGTACCAGCTGTACACCATGGAGAACACACGACAGACCATCCTCAACGATTATATCACTTCTCAGCATATGCAAGCCATCCCTCGGCCTGACATGGCCCGAGGGTTGTCACCACGGGAACAGTCCGTTGCTATCCCTTACACGGCCGGAGCTCGAGGTATGTGTCTCCACCAGCTGACCCTCCCTCACCTGCCCTGCCAGGCAGTGAAGGGGCCTTGGGCAAGAGGGGCAGTAGTATGTAGACTGTGTGCTTGTGAAGTAGTGGCTACCTTTTCCAGACGCCCAGAAGCAAATGACCTAGACAAATTCATCTGATTTGTTCTCTATACTGGGGCTGTAACTGATTCGGCTACTGTTCAATTTATCAGTTGGGTTGGGACATCCAAATCTCCATTTGCTAAGTGGTTGCCTCTTACAGGTTGACCACTGTTCCACTCTTTTTGCAGCCCTGTTGCCTACTGATCAATCTGTATTTGGGAGCGCTAAGAGTTGAAGGTGATGGTTTACAGCTAAGTGTATACGGTGTTCATACATTCAGAAATTGATGGATTGGTTCTTGTTGTTCACCGTTGGCCCTTTGCTTCTGTCTGTAAAAGGGATTATTGATCTAGCCCAGATGCCTCCAACTATCCTGTTGCCTCACCCTGGGGGAACAGGTACTCCCACTTTGGAACGCATCGCCTACCTCCCTGGAGCTCAGCCCCCTTTCCCTCCTAGGGCTTTCAACCCAACCTCCATATCACCAGGTGAGGACCTCCCTTCCCCATCCCATATTTATCCCTTATCTTCCTTGCCACAATCTCCATGTCCCCTCACACCGCTGTAAGAGTGCAGCCCCGCACTGGCCTGCGGTGTCAAAGGTCAGTTCTGCTTGTTCAGTCACACATCAAGTTGACTCTTATTGCAGTCATACTGGGAAGTATTTCTTGTCTGTTTTTTGTCTGTTTGTTGCACAGCAGTGTTTCGTTATTTCCACAAAAGAAGAGATGCTCTGTAACAAATCATTTTTAGGTGCACAAAAAAGTGGGACTGAAATGTGAAATGCATTGAATTATTAGGCTTACCTTTTTATGTCTGCAGCTTAAACTTTGTAATAGCTTTAATTATAAGAGGTTATCTACTAAAATTCACCACAGTAAACCTAGTGGTGAAGAAACATAGAGGCACTAAAATGGTGATAGGTTCAGTTAAACTGAAAAGTGATCTGTTCGGTCTACAGTTGTTTTTGTTGCCATTGTTGACATACAAAACAGTTTTTGTTTCACCCCAATTAAGAATAAGATGATATTTTAATGATAAGTCCTTTCAGAGGTATTATAACTATTTTATATAAGTAAGCAACTAAAGCAGCAACCTGGCATGGATGGTTGCACTCAAGGTTTTGTTAAAACTGATAAATATGGTAATATTTCTGGGACAGAATATTACCATGATTGCACTGTTGTTCATAACGTGTCAGCAAGGCTCTAATTCATCCTCCTGAGACAACATGACTGGTGTGTATAAAGCCTGCATCTGTGCTGTTTATCATTGTTGTCCTCAGGCCACCAAGCCCACCTTGTTGCTGCTGCCAGTGCAGAGAGGGAACGGGAGAGGGAGCATGACAGGGAGCAGCAGGAGAAAGAAAGAGAAAGGGAACAGCGGGAAAGAGAGAGGGAGCGGGAAATGCGAGAACGAACCAATGAATACATTCGTGGAGGTGACTTGTTTTGTCGCTGTTTGTTAGGAAATTACGTTTCATTACGTTTATTTCCCTTTAATACAGGAAATCATGCTCTTGTACACTTGAATTTTAAATGCTGTTACAGTGTTTGATGAACATCTGTGTGCGTTTCAGGTGGGCCAGAGCAGCCAGGCCGGCCAGGAAGTCGAGGTTATCTGCACTCGCCTTCTCCCTCACTCAGGACGCAGGATGTAGTTGTT